TATGAAAAATTAATACTAATCTTAAAAATGAATTTATAAAGCTGGGCTAATAATGTCACACTGGTTTTAGAGGCTGACTTAAGGATGAACAAAAATGCCCTTAATATTGGCTCATTTGTGTTGACTCTCCATTCATTTATAGGTTAAGGGTCTTTGCTAGGTATTCTGGTGTTGATAGACAATAGGTCCTATGATTATAATAATGTATTTTTATGTATTGCTTTGGATCTAATGGGTGCCATTATGTTCATCAACTTGATATAGTGTTCTTTGTAGTAAATTGTTAAAATCTGAAGTCTTAGAAACACACTCACTGAAGTCTTCTGTTTATGAATTTTTCTTCTATCTCTCTTGAGCTGTGTAAATAGCTAGGAAGGAAGGAAGGAAGGAAGGAAGGAAGGAAGGAAGGAAGGAAGGAAGGAAGGAAGTTCTATTTATTTAGATACTCCAAACATTGGATGTGAGTTGTAACCTGTGATAAATTCACCTAATCATCTTAAAGGTGTGATTTATCTAGTCTTTGAATTGCCATGCCCATTGTCTTATGACATTTAGCGGAGCTGTCTCTGCTTTACTATGTATGTGGCTCCAGATGGAAGGTTCCAGAGTGACTTGAACAGCTGAAGGACACAATCATTTATAGGTTTGCTACATGTATGACAATTAACCAGGCATAAAGTGAAGGCAGGAATCAGGGCAGCTATCTGCTAGAACTACATGTGACTATGTGATCTACATGCAGCCATGGGACCTTCCTGTATGGTTTGCTTTTTCAATCTGATAATTCAGGACACCACAGATAAATGTTCTCAGGAAATAGTGGACTTTGCATTCTCTAGCTTCTGAATAACTCAGCATCATAAATTACCTGTCTTAGTTAGGGTTTCTAATGCTCTGATCAAATCATGACCAAAAATAACTTGGGAGGAGGAGGTTTAGTTTACCTTACAGATGGTAAGTCCATCACTTAAGGAAGCCAGGGCATAAACTTTGTAGGAACCTGGAGGCAGGAACTGGAGAAGCCATGGGGGAATGATGTTTACTGGCTTGCTAAACTTGCTTTCTTATGCCATCCTGACCACCTGCAATGGATTGGACCCTCCAATATCAATCACTAACCTTGCCCACAGGGAAGCCTAGTGGGGCCATTTTCTCAGTTGAGGTTACTTTTTTGCAAATAACAGGCTAGTATTAAGTTCAAATAAAACTAGCCATCATGTTACCCAAACCAAGGAGCAGAGCAGAGATCTGATCTATTTATGAGAAGATTGTGTTTTAAAAGAACTACACTTATGACTGGTATTGTAAAAGTGAAAGAACTAAAAGCTCACTATGATTGGCTAGCTGTATATTGCCATTTAAAAGGGAATAGTAATGAGCTGGAAACAAACTATGCTAGAGTCAAATTTCCAAAGATTGCAGGTTTTGCAAAGAGCATTATCTGGACCCATTCATGCATTGAAACCTTAGTAACATGAAACAATTAGGTTTTTAAAGGGCTGTTTATAAAGTTCAAATTCGAGCAGGAGGATAGGGAATAGAGAAAAGTGATGGAGAAGGAATAAAAAAACATGGATGAAATGATTAAGGATGGAAATAGTCACACAAAGAATGAAGCCCAGGTCAATGAGATTTGCATTTGATAGGAAATACCATAGAAGAACAAAAGATACAGCTTTTCAGAAGTGCGAGAGCACAGGAAGCAAGTCATTTGCTGTCTAAAAGTACCATGAAGAAAACAATAGAGAGGGTGACGAAATGTACTGGTAGACAACATTTTTAGGAATCACAGAATATCAAACTGTAATACCCAAATTCAAATATTATATAAATGATTGGACTTAAGGAGAAAGAGAGAGAGAGAGAGAGAGAGAGAGAGAGAGAGAGAGAGAGAGGAGGGGAGGGAAAAAAAGAAAGAATGAAAGACAGACAGAAAGGAAGAAAGAAAGAGAAATAAAGAAAGAAAGAGAGAGAGAGAGACAAAGGCAAATGTCACAAGCAATGTATACCTGCCATTAAACAAGATGGAGTTGTGGGGCTGGAGAGATGATTCAGTTGGTAGGAGCACTAGCTGGTTTTTCCAGAGGTCCCTGGTTTGATTCCCAGCACCCACATGACTGCTCACAACTGCCTGTAACTCCAGTCCCAGTAGATATAATACCCTCTTTCGGCCTCTACAAGCACAAGGCTCTCATGTGGTGCATAGATACCACTGAAGGTAAGACACCCATACATATACAAATTAAAAATAAGAAAGAATGGAGTTGAGAAAAAAAAGTAAAGTGAAGCAGCTGAAATACATGTTTCTTGTTGATGCTGTGTGGTGGGCAGGCCTGACAAATACAGCGTGACATATGGTTTATTATTATTATTTTGTTTGATGGAGAAACAATGAGTCTGGGTAACATCAGAGAAAATGGCTCAGTTGTCGTACGGAACACAGAAATTAGGAACTTTGTGATGTTTCACCTCTAAAAGTATTTAATGTCTAATTCATACTGCTCAGAAGCATCCTAGAATATAAGTTATTAGCTCATCACATAGCCATGTAGACAACACAAGGACACTGGGATGAAGCTCTCTGGAGACTCTGAGAAAAGAGTTGCCATAATTACCTGCGTTATTATAACACCTTGGCAAAGAATAGGCTGTCAGCTAAGAATAGATTGTGTGGCTCCTTTAATGCTGAGTCAGCTCCCACAGTGTGAAAGAGCAATTCATTCTTTCCCTGTCATATTTCTCATGCTTCATCACAAGACTAGTGATAATTGGGACATAGCTTCTAAGAAGGTTTTATTCAAGATATTAGTACCAGAGTTTGCTTTTTCTTGGCAACAGCATAGACCAAGCATGACTGTGAATAAGCTCTATGCTTTGGCTGGGCACCCTGAGCTGTTTCTGCCATGCACACTGGAATCTACAACTGGCAACGGTTTCCATATATATATATATATGTTCCCTTCCTGTCTTGGACATTGCATTGCCACATGACCTTTGCCAAGTCACTCCCTTCTGCTCCACTATAACATAAGGTTGTAATTACAATGATTTCCCTCTCAGAAATGCGATGAGAAGCTATTCATAACAAAGATTGTCAAAATTGCAAACATCATGAAAAGCAGATATTAAATATATAAAAAGTTCTAAATTGAATATTCATTTCCTCTTTGGCTCCATGAATTCTTAAAATTTATATGTAAAGACAAGAAAAGAAAGAATGCCTGATTAGGCCCTTCTGTTAATGCCATTCATGAATTAAACATGTATTTGGCCCCAAAAATGACCTTGATTTTCAGATAAATAAATTTTGCACAGGGGAACATTATCTTTTCACTGTTCTCTCACTAGGCACATGTCCTTTTTCTTTCCCAAGAACACTGAGGTCACTTATTTGATTTTAAATTGGCAATGCAATCTTGCTCAGTGCCAGACACATGACATGTCCTAGTAGCTGTCTGGACTTGGATCTGGGATCATATTCCCTTCAACCCCCAATCTATGTTCCGAACACTTGAGTGCAGGAGGGAAGAATGCTTGAAGAGGTGAACTCAGGCCAGGCTGGCATCCACTCTGTAGGATTCAGGGAAAGAGTCATACTTCAAAGTGGTATAAGGGAGTGATTGGCAGTCCGCTCGGATTGCTCATGGTAGGTGGAAGGACAACAGGAGAGAAATAAATTGGTACATTTTTTCAAGTCTGTTTCTCTTCCATCTGTAGCCTCTTTAAACTGCCTTCATATTTGGATGTGGACATTGAAGTATTGCTGACCAATGCCAGAGTCACAGGAATACCCTGCTGTGCTTTTGATCTTCCCATATGACTAAATTTCCTGGATCATCATGTTACTCTCGGTGTGTGCACATATGCACACGAGAATCTTCTGGCACATCTCCCAGAAGTGCTAGTTTTAGGACAAAGGGCCCATTGGTGCTTTCAGAATGTAATATTGATCACTTTGGCTTTCCTTGGCTCAGGGCCAGACACTTCGTCTTTCAGTGCACAAGATGGCTGCCAAGTCCCTTGGTTTGTCTTATTGTGACAGCCTTCGACACTACTTCCTGAAGAGCAGGGTAATTTTTTTTTTTAAGAACCTTGTTTAAAAATGGAACTCCGTGTTTTACTAACTAAGGGCAGGAATTTGCTTCTTTAACCCTTACAGGCTGTGGTACATTCCCTAGTCATTTAAACAGTACTCTTCATTGTTCAGGGAGCAGGGAAGTCAATGATGGAGAATAATTCATGGAGTTCCCCCTTTCTTTTGTACAATTATCTGTCTAGTACTGGTCTTCGTCATATTCTTAATTTATACTTCAAAGTTCCTGTTAGCTCAAAGGATAAATATAAGAATAAAAAGAAACCCCTAAAGTGTAGTTTCCATATGTTGTAGTATCAAAATGAAAGTATCTAATTCAGAATTGACCCTGATACCAAAGCTTGATCATTAAAATGATAAAATAATAACCAGTGTACACTAGCATAGGGCAAAAATAACATGGTTATCTTCAGGCAGACAAGAACAGCTCTATAAACTTCAAACCCATTACAAATATCTAGACTCCAGGGGGAAGAGGTCACCAAAGTCTCCCTTTCTCCTTTTCCCTCGAACACTATGTAGGGCGTGACCTAAGCAGTATGTGAAATAGGGGATTCTTTCATTTTCTTGCTGGAGCTCCTTTCTGTGTCTAATCACCATCACCTGCTGCACATGGCTGCCTTTCTTCTCAGAAGAAAGTCTCTTCGAGTAGTCATAAAATACCTGAGTGTGCATTTATATCATATGCAAATTTCTCATCTTCCAGACAGTAGCTTTTGTCAATGTTTTTATAGAAAGGTACAACATAAGCATGTGTAGTGACCCGGGGATCCTGTGATTTAAAAGAAGGGGTGATGGAGAACAGGACTTTCAATACTGCCACCATGGGTACTCCAATAGTGAGACCTGGTCCCTCGTTTGGTTCGTTGATAAATCAACTGCTTCCATTGTATTCTATTTTATTTAGCTTCTCAGAGATGCCCAGAGAAAATCCTTAATGCAGAACTAAAGGAAAGTTAATCTGAATTCCAAGCATTCCAGATGTAACAGAAAGAAGGCATGCTTCTGAATCAGAGAGTCCTAGGTGAGTCCCCTTCAGCCCTTGCCAGTCGAGCAATCTTGGCGAAGGTATCAAACCTCTCTAAGTCTCATTGCTAATTTACAGAATAAAGGAAATATTAGTTGGGGGAGGTGGGAACATGATCAAAATATATTGTATGAAAGACACTTCAAATAAGAAGAAATTATTACTTCTGTTTTATGAGACTGACATAATGGACATAAAGACTAAGCATGGCATGTGACAGCAGACTCTTGTGGTCAATTCCCTCCATTGTGTGCCCCTATGTGTTAGCAGTTGAAGGCAGACCCCATGGAGGGCTTTTCTTAAGGACAACCTTTGCAATCAAAAACCTCAGCTGTGATATTTTTAAAAAGTTATATTCCACAGTTATGATATCACTAGTGTCAAGTTTAAACTTGTGATGACAGAACAGCTGTGAGCTCTTTGGATGTCAGATCCTTGGGAAGCAGAATGCTATGACAGTCCTAGAGAAAATTGCCATGTTTGGTACTCTGTGGACATGCTTGGTAGAGCCTTGAGTTTTCAGAAAAATAGAGCTGATTGAATTTTGTTCACTGACTCTGAGTGGTGTACTTCCAATTCTTTATTTGAAAGCACATGGATTGCAAAGAAACATGTAGTGTTACTATATTCTCTTATGGCTATCATTGGTAAGTAGCCCAATAATATTCATGATAGTTCATAATAATCTATTTTGGTATCTATTTTTCGAATTAAGCATTTAGATTAATAAAAATTTTAATTAGGGGGTAAAATAGTTTGAGTTCAATAATAGGTGCATGACATCATAGAATAACAAGTTTATTTTCAGAATAATAATAGCTGCCTTGAAAATCTAGACACTAATATTTTGACCCAGGAAATCATTCTCTCCTACTCTTGAGGAAACACAGTGTTTGCTATAATTGTTACACAGTGTGCCTGGCACTGTCTGCATAATCCCACACATCTTGATGTCATCTAGGAAAACTAAAAGCAGGTTGTAATTAAGACTCCTATTCTGACAGCAGTAGGGAGAAGAATCCATCAGAGTCCAGTTAAACCACTAAGTAGATTTGCAATTCAAAACCTGATTTGGGCCCTTGTTTCTCTGACTTTGAAATCGTATTTTAGTTCTCAATGTAGGCAGTTATTTTTTCAGCATTATAATATTCAGACTGTGTTTGTAAAGAACAGGACAATGAATTCATTGTTTTCCCTTCTTTGCAAGACTCTCTTAGAAAGCATTGAAAATAAGGGCGAAATGAAAATCAATGTTTTTAATTCATCCTCAGACTTTAGTAGACAATGCTTTGCATTTATGAAATCTTCACATTTACATCCTTGGGACAAAACTTCCTGCTTTCGCATTAAACAAGATCCACAGTCTGGCTAGCCATTTGTCATAGAAAAGTCACACAGCTGAGATCTCAGAAAGCAAACAAATGCACATTTTATTACTTCCACTGAAATCAATTTTAAGGGTCTATCTTTTAAAGACACCATGCCTTATTCCTCATACTCTTTTATATTGAAAATACATTTTTTTCACGTAATATATTCTGATTTCTGTTTCTCCTCACAGTTCCTACTCACCTCCCTCCCAGTCCGATCCACTCATTTTCAATAGCTACATCATCTGCTTCCTTTACTGAAACACTGTGTGTGTTCACAAAGGTTTTCTTTCTTCATCCCATAAAATATGCATTAAATGTCCCATGCATATTGTTTGGAGTATTTGAAACTTTGGATGTCACAAAATTAAGTGGAGGACATGCTTGTCCCTTCATGGGCCTTGTCCAACAGGAAAGGTGAGGGTTGCCTACCACAATATAGTATGTCCTTGTCAGAGATGGTCATTCATCATCCAAAGTAATACCCACTCTATAAATTGTAAACCTAGGACCCTTCTAGCTACATTCCTTCCTCAGACATATTTGATTCGGGTCATACAGTACTGTCAAACATAATTTGGAAAATCATCAGTATTCTGAAGTGGAAATATATTTCTTATAGGTGTGGACTTAAGATTTAAAAAAAATGGAGAAAAGTGGGTAACTTTTAAATAGAGTGCCCTAACTCTTCATAATCATTACCACACTTCTACTGTATTCTCCTGGTTACAACAATTTCTTCAAAATATACTGGGAGTTTTCCAGAAAAAAAATGTTAAATATAACTTGTCTTATCTCCTTCTAATTTACCTGTCTTCTGCTTAACTAAATCCCACAGACTCACACTCATGTGTGAGTGTTGTTCAGCTGCAGAGCACCCAGAAGAGAAACTGTGTGGAGCTGTGTTCTGTGTGGTCTGTGAGAGCCTGAGATTAGAAGATCTTTAAGATGAAGACTGAAAAACAGGATCCTTAAAAGAAAATTCCCTGTTCCCAAACAGCATGGATCCTTGGAAGAAATTCAGTATTAGTACTGATGTAGACACCCACTGTTCTAGTCTTCATGGCTTATGGAGGGAACAACACAGGCTGGGTTCTCACTGACCCAAGAGGAAAGTGGCAGGGATTTCAGAGAGTAAAGGGATCCCATTTGTTTTCTCAGAAGTAAAGGTCTACTGTATTCCCTTTACCTCCCCCAGACCTGACACTTAGCAACTCCAACACCTACACTAATACCTCATGATAACAAACAATATGCTCATGAGAAAAAAACTTTACAATGCTGCTGGAGATGGATGACATTTTACAAGGGACAAGAAGGCAGCCTGAAAGTACTTACGTCTAAAATTGTAATTTCCAAAGTGAACAGTTCAGTAAATTAATAGATGGATTATATGATTATCACCGAGACTCAAACCAAAGGTCTAGAATATCAAGAAAAGGCAATTATCTCCAATCGAATCATAGTATCTCATACATGGGGCCACGTACAGGGCCTTACACAGCATAAACACACTCTCCCCCATTCTCACACACACATACACCTACATATACACACATACATAAACGCACTCACATGCACAAATACATACCATATGGAGCTTGAAAGATAAAGCAGAAGTCATTTGAGTGAATGATGGGACTTCTAGAAGGTGCAAAGGAGGATGAAGAGACAAAAACAGAATTATAGGTTTTCATGGTGTTTAAATAAAGGTCTAATCTTAAAATTAAAAGGACTGATGAGGAAGAAAACCTCCAAAGACAGATTATTCTTTTTAAAGTAAAGATTCTTGCAAAAACTCCTTTGGTTAAAGAAGTAGTGTGAGCATTATAATGGTCAGGAGCCATCAGACATTAAAAAGAATGCTGAAAGCAGGTGCATCTAACCACACAAAACAGATAGTTACAATTTCATTTTACTGTGTAAGCCATGGGGGGACATGAAGGCTTTGTGAATGAAAGGCTTGTTCTCCAGTGGTGACACTACTGAAAGGTGATTGAATCCTGCAGACAGTAACCCTTGCCACCTGATGAGTTCCTAGAAGAATAGGCTAATAGAAGGTGGGACCTTGTTGTCAGGTTGTAGACCAGTGGTGGCCTGCCTTAGAAGAACATAACTTGCCCTAGCCTCTTTTTCCTTCTGTCTTCCATCCACTAGAGGTGAGATGCTTCCATTTTACTTATTCTGTCATTCCATTTTTATAGAAGCTTCTAATTTGATAGAATCACATTTGTTTGGGCCTTGCTGCCTGTCGTTGGTTGTCTGGTATGGACTGGAGTGATGATACAGCACATGTGTTGTGCTTTTTTTCTTTTTTTTAAATGTATTTATTTGTGATGCATAGTGTTCTGCCTGCATGTCTGCCCGTATGCCAGAAGAGTGCACCAGGTCTCAATAGATGGCTGTGAGCAACCATGTGGTTTCTGGGAATTGAACTCAGGGCCTCTGGAAGAACAGTCAGTGCTCTTAACCTCTGAGCCATCTCTCCAGCCCCATGCTGTGCTTCTTTACTTGACTCTGCTGTGAGTGTTCCAGAGTCTGTTTCATTCCTACTTTACTCAATGATGGTCTTCAAATGTTCCAGTGAAGTGGCCATGTTTACTCTTCTATTTCTCCTCTGTAGGAGAGGGCTCACACCAGGTACTTTCAGTCAGCTCTCGAAGGAAGTCACTCTTTTTTTTTTTTTTTTTTTTTGCTATTGGTAATGTGTATTTGTTATTAGTTTGTCTATAGAGCTTTTATTAGCTCTGTTGATCTTGGTGAATCAGCCTCTAGTTTCACTAACTCATTTTCTGTTTCATAGATTACCACTCTAATTTTCATTGTTTTCTTTCTTCTGCCATTTTTGTTTTCTTTGGTTCTTTACGATCTAGGATCTTAAGGTAGGACAGGGTCATTGTGTTGAGAAATTCCTCTCCTTCTTTGATATGGGACTGCAAACTTGTACATTCCCTCCTCGGGCACTATTTTAGTCACACTTCATGTATACTATGTCAGCTGTTTTAGCCTCCAGAATGATTGCAGGGATTACCGAATGTGCCTCCACACCTAGCTAGAAATCAATAATCTTAAAAATGAGAAAAAGATAAATTCTTATGGAAAACATAAAATTGACTTGTAGGCATTCAAGTATTTGGTGGCATTAACTATAGTCATAGTCTTATAACCATCCCCACTATCCTCCATAAAACTTTTATGTTGTTATTGTTGTTGTTGAGGCAGTCTCTAGACCAGGCTAGCCTCAAATTCCCTAAGTAACTGAGATAGACCTTCAAACTTCAGAGTCCCCTGCCTCTATCTCCCAGGTGCTAAGATCTGGGATTATAGGCACATGCCACTGTGTTGGTGAATGTGTGCCAGGTAAGCAATCCCACCAGCTCCTGAACTCTGTCTGTCTCTATCCAGTAAGCTACAGCTCTTCATTGTTTCCCCTCAGATTCTACCCACTCCTAGTTCTGCCTTGTTTTAATGATCATAAATACTTCATATGGGAGGACTCATACACCATTTGTATGACTGACTTATTTTACTTAGCAAAATGTTTTTGTCATCTCTGTCAGAATTTCTTTTTAAAGTCTGAATTTTTTCCATGTCCATTTGACCATGTGCATACCACAGTTTTCTCACCTATGAGTTTATTGATAATACTACTTGGGCTATGTTCATGGTTTTGTCTATACCCAATGTTTCTATGAGACTCTGGTTTGGGGTTCTAATACTATTTGAGACATCTTTTATTCATAGACAAGTTCTCAATGTCTTGTTCAGGCTGGACTAGAACTTGATAGTGTCCTCCTCAGCCTCCCAAATCTAGGATTACAGGCATGTGATACTCCACCTGGTAAGTCTCTGCTCTTAATTCTTTGAGGACATGCCCAGTATTTATCTGTAGTCACGTTCTTGCTATGATGTTCAAGCTGAACTAGAACTTGGAAGCACCCTTGTTCATCTTCCCAAATGCTGCAATTACAGGCATGTCCTTCCAACTTGGAAAGACACTGATCATAATTCTCTGGGGACATAACCCGGAAATGGAATTGTTGCATCATGTGGCAGTTGTATTTCTATTTATTTTTTAAAGTGCCATTCTGTTTTCCTTAGTGCCATACCATTTTACTTTTTTATGAGTAGTGCACCAAGTTTCCAATTTCTCCACATACCTCTAAAACAGTCGTTCTCAGCCTTCCTAATGCTTTGGACCCTTTAGTAAGTTCTTCATGTTGTGGTACCCCAACCATAAAGTTATTTTTGTTGCTACTTTTTAACTGTATTATATTTCTACAAATAATAATGTAAATATTTTGGGAGATAGAGGTTTGCCGAAAGGGTCATGACCCATAGGCTAAGAACTGATGCTCTAACATTTGTTATTTTTCCATTTTTCTTTCTTGTTGTTCTGTTCAGTATATTAGCCACTCAGAGGAGTAAGGTGGTGTCTCCTTGTAGTTTTGACTTCTTTTGTGACTGGATGTTGGCATATTTTCATGTTCTCACTTGACATTGACAT